TCCACTAATAAGACGTGATGGTTGTTGAACAATCGAGGAATCTAAGAGGACTGCAGCTCCCGCCGTCACACTGAGCGGCGATTTTCAGTGACTCTGGTGTCCAGTGATGTTGAGGCCATGATCCATTAAATCAGACAAGCTATCAAACACATTTAGCAGTAAGTCCGTGAAATCTGGGATGGAGTCCCTCTGAAGGGCCTGACTCAGGGATCATGGGGTCAGGCCGACGTTGTGAAGATGTAGCATAAATACTGGTGGAAATCAGCCACACGCAGCAGCAGGAGGAAGCTTTATCGGCTCGTGTGTTTATAGGACACTTGGACCTGAAATGATGGATCAGCACAGAATAACGTGAAGTCAAACCACAGTTACAGTAAAAACAGAGACCGAAATCAGAAACAGGAACAGGAAGTAGAAAACACCAGAAATAGTGTTTGATCGTTTATTCTGAACGTTGTGGTTTTGACTTTCATGCTGTTTTACAGTAAAGCCCTTTGGTCGGCCACTCACTGTTTTTAATGTGTTATAGAAATAAAACTGACATGTTAGCAGGTCATGTGACCAGGTAAAGCTCTGTGTACCTTTGTATTGGCTCTGAAGTCACAGTGTGGTATATTTCACTACGACCAGCCATAACATTAGGAACACCCGGGCAGTTTGATCCAACCCAACAGCTCTACCTCAAACCTTCGCTGACGTGATCAGAGGTGATAACTGCTCCTTATATTTATGATTGTTGACAAAGTCGGTGGTCACGGCGTGATGGAGGGAGTTACGATGGCGGGTAATATTTAACACTCCATTAACAAACTTGAGGAGTTTATTATATTAGGCAGTTTAATGCACTCTGATATGGAACCAGCTCCTACTACAGCTGTTATCAGCTGACTGACCATCCAAGAAACCGTGGACGCCTAGAAGCTTCCTGGAGGCGGAGTCTGTGGTCAAGGGTTTTATATGTGATTGTTTTGTTACTTATTATATTGTGGCAGTTGAGTGTATTTAGGATCTGAAGTTGAACCACGGCTTGTTGAACGTGACAGAATCATGTCTTTGTTATAATAATGTCTTTGTTATGATGTTGGATGAGAAGAACAGGCTCACTGTCACCTCGACCAGCTTCAGCTTCAGCTCAGGAGCTCTGATAGATGTTCGCTCTGAAGAGCTTCTGAGGGGAAAAACAGCTGATCAGTTTGTTGTTTGTTAATTTTTAATACTGTTTTAGCTCAGGTTAGTTACCTCATGATGAAGGTTATGATTTCTTTGACCTTTGACCCACCTACAACATCAGTAAAGGTCGGTCAGTTTCATTTATAACCAACAGAAAATCCAAACTCCGGTCTGTCCACCTTTAACTGTATCCTGCTGTAATTATGAACAGATCGTTGAGGCTTCGGTCACAGAAACTCCTCGACAGCTTCATTCCTCTCCACAGAACCTCTCTGCCTGTGGCCTCCTCATTTCCTGGTGTGGGGCAGGATCGGGTGTCAACCACCACTTTTGTGCAGATGTGGGACCGACATTACACTGTTGGTCAGACCCACAATGACTGTGTGCTGTCTAAGTGGACTCAGTGGCTCACATGGTCACCCTGAGGCCTCGGCCTCTCTGAAGTCACGCCAGGCCGTCTTGTCCTAAATTGAGTAAAACCGTTAAATCTTTGCAGCTTTTGTAAATGTGAGGGGAACTTTAGAGATCGGTCCAAAAGTGTGTCAGAAATACAGTCCTCCAGTGTCTAAAGGGGGGTCTCCAAAAGCCTAAAGAGACCAGAGACTCCTCCACAGTGGACAGCTGAGACCACAGAGGGCAGGATGAGGAGAGGGAGTCCTGAGTCCTGACAGAGACCTGGACTACACGTATACAGATCTTTATTTATCAGGATATTTTTGTCCTCCCGTCTAAATAAATGTATCTGTCACACGTGTTAGTTCTCAGAAATATCTGCGTCCACACGAAGCCTTCAAACTCAATCCTATCTGGTGCCGCTTAAAAAAAATTCAGGAACAAAGCTACCTGATTGGCTGATGAATCGTAACAGCGTGACGCGTCATGCATTGTTTGCGGAAGCTACGCTCGTGCGTCGGGTCCGTGTGACGGTGTGGCGGCTATAACAGAGCAGACGCGTCTGTGAGCTGCTGACTGTGGATGTAATTGTATAAAACAAGGTTCACTGTCAAGGCAGAGATTAGCCCCAAAAGGACAAAACAAACGTAAAGAATAATCTGTCTGTCCGCCATCTTTGTTGTTGTTTTTCTTTTTAATTCACATGCGCGAGCTGCGGTTTGACGTCATCGATCCGTAAAAGTTCAACCACATGAATCCACTTAAACGGACATTTTTTTATTTCTCCACTTGTTTTTTCAGGTTCAGATTTATCCGGTTTGTTTGTTCCAAACTCCCGTTCTGGTGTGGTACGGAGGTCTAATCGGATATAAATATGTGCGGTTTCAAATATATCTGCATTCGTGTAGTTCGGGCCTGAGTTTCTGTTCCTGTCTGTCTGTCTGTCTGTCTGTCTTTGTGGTTTTTTATGTCTTCCATCCAAAGGCACGAGTCCATCATCATTAATCATTCTGTGATTTATCTCCTGACTCAGTTTCTTCATCTCCTCATCGTTTGGATTCATGAGATTCTTCTTCTCCCCTTTTCTGCTGATTTACAACAACATGAAGCTGCAGAAGTCTTTGTCTGAGTGTTGCTCGGAGAATGTTTTGCTACCTTACTCAGCAGGCGTATTTCCTGCTATTTCAGGGATCAGACAAACAGCCTGGCCCTGTGTTTTCCCCTGCTGTGGAACATCAAATTGCTGTGCAGTAAAGTAAATTAAAGCCCTGGACCCCCCTGGAAGTTTGCTGTAATAGTGGAGGAGTATCAATGAGTAATTAAGCTTTGGTCTCTCTCTGCGAACATCCAGTCTGTTCTCAACAAATTAAAGGTGTGTGGCAGCTGCAGTTTTTAATTTAGTGAAGTTACAGAGTTGGTTAGAGGTACTCTTTATTTCTGGGTCTGCTTTTTCCACTATACCATGATCCTCAGTCACGGTACAGTCTAACCTCTAACCTCTCCATACCACCGGGTCTCATCATCTGTCAGTCTGTCAGAACAAAGACCTTTGTTTGAGATGAGTCATGGTTTTGGTCTCTGAGCCGCCCACACTCACAGTCTTCCTAACAGTCACCCACTCCTCCACCTGGTCTCAGAGCATCAGGAAGGAGCTGCTTCCTTGACTGCTCCATGAGAGCGGGGCGGATTTCCTGTGGCCTCTAAAGGATCCAGATCACACTGAGATCACAGGCTCCCAGACCCCGAAGTCCCCACATTTATCCAAACAAGTAACAGAGACTGAGCCCGATTTAGACTCGAGGAGGCCTGCCACCAAAGTTCGTCCCTCAGAGTACCGACTGTGCTTCATGTCCGTCTCTCAGGGTTTTGGGATCCTGCTGTCCTTCAGTAGCTGTGTGGGCTCCTCTCCAGCCTCTCTACATCACAGCTTCATTAAATCTCACCCTGATGAAAGTGTGCTGACTCCGCCCTGTTCAGATTCAGGTCACACGCTGCAGGCCCATCAGCTCCTCCTGCGCCCCCGTTACAGTAAAAAGAACTGACTGGACTATTTTCTCCTGCTTACTTCATGCCAGTGTGGCTTTGTGTTCACCGCTGCCACGTGCAGCGCCAAATTACAGCCTGCAGGCAGATGTGAAGGGGAGGTGCCAAGCAGCACTTATGGTCCAAGACCTGATCCCGGCCTAATCCGCGCACACACCCAGGTCCACATGCAGCTGAGGGAAGCCTTTGGGATCTCAGCGCCTCTCTCACAGCTTCTTCCTCCTTTGATGGTGGCCTTAGTGCTTCATCATCGTTTCTCCTTCCAGTACAGTTGCTGCTCGTCCCGCTTTCATGTTCCTAATGATCCCACCATGCAGCCGCCGCCACAGGGGCGCACTTACTCTCTAATTCCTGCCTCCTCCTCCTCCTCCTCCTCCTCCTCCTCCTCCTTCTTCTGTTTGTGGGAGTACGAGTGCAGATATACAGACTCTTAGTTTTTCATTTCAACATGGAAATCCTTCTTCAAAATGTGGGTGTGGCCTCTCGCTGCGACTGACTCTATTCATATTCTGATGTGATGGTCATTCATATTCCTGTGTGTGTGTGTGTGTGTGTGTGTGTGTGTGTGTGTCCCCTCTTTGTCCTCCGCCCCCCTGTGACCCCTCCCACCGGCCTCTTCTGGAGCAGGGATAATTGTGCGCCGGTTCACTCGCCGCCAGGATCAGGTCAGGCAGCAGCACTATTGTCACCGAGCAGACATCTGCTGCGCTGCACTTTTTTTCTGCAGTGACGTCACGTCCTGCGGCGAGGGGGGGGGGGTTCCCTGTTCAGTTCAGCAGTAACTTTAAATAAGAGTCTCTGCTGAACCAGGACAGTTGTTGTTATATAAATGTGTCTGAAGACTTTATTTCATTCAAATGTCTTTAAACAGCGTTCATGGTAGCTGCCTCTTTCCTCTTTCCTGTTTCCTGTTTCCTGTTTCCTGTTTCTTCTCTTTGAAAATGTTTTTAAATGACGGTTTAGTTTCTGACCTGTTTGAAAATAATAATAAATAATAATAAAAAAATTTAAATCACTGCCTTAATAACAGTCAGAAACTCAGTATTTTGTCTTTTGTCACTAAAACAAACAGTTTGATGTAGTAAAGCTAAAACATCTTCCTCTCCTGTGATCGAGGCTCGTACATTGAAGTTTAGATAAGACAGGAACATGTTAAACAGCGAGAAGTTCTGAATCCAGTCTGTTTGATTAGATCGTTGACGGTCGTCCACGACCATGTCCCCTCTGTTCCAGTGGTGAGGGTTTTACTCTGTGATGATCTGGAGGTTCCTGTGTCGTCTGGTTTGAAACTGTGTTCATGAACATCTGAGCGTGTAAGAAAACTGGACCACCAGAGCAGCAGGTTTAGACTTTAAGGTCTAACATCCAGAAACTTCTAAGATCAGATCCTGGAGCGGCCGTTTTCCTAAAGGTTTGTTGGTGAAGTGCCAACACTTTGGACTTGTGGGAGAGGACTGGTGAAGGGGGCTGCATGGGCCCGGGTCCAAAACCATGTGAGATGGTGCAGAACCCTAAGAGCCATTAGCTAGCCTAACATTTACCTACACTGTGGCGTGGACTGCGTTCATCTGGCCGTCCGTCTCTCCCTCCCAGCTCCTGATGTGGGTCAGTGTTGGTTCATTATCTGCTCCAAGAAACTTCAGACTCAGCAGAGAATTCATCTGTGAAGTCGATTTAAAGATTTTTAGACAGTTTTTTTTTTTGGACTTGATACCAAAACAAACTTCAGAAAGATGCTTCTTTATTTTCATCGTCGAGATGACCTCTACCTCTGAAATTTGACCTTAAACCCGTTCAGTTTATCGTCCGGCTGCTCGACTACAGTTTGGATCGGACTGAGTTCAGACAGGATCACCTCTGCAGATGAATGTCACCTCAGAGTAACGTTATATTTTAGGCCCATGGCTGGTTCCTTAAGAAAATACATGTCAGCATCTGTGAATGTCAGACATTCCTCTCTAGTACTCTGAGTGTGTATAAGTATCAGATTAATGATATCACTCAGACGTGGGAGGTTTGGAGGACCCCGACCCGACAGCAGGGAGGCCATATTTGCTGTGTTTCTCTACAATGACCTCAGGCTGTATTTACCCTGTTGTTGAAGTGAAACATTAGAGCTGAAAACGCTCCTCTTAGCCTGGTCTGTTAAAAACACGGAGAGTTTAGAGGATGATTCTGACTGAACTTGGTCAGGAGTCTGACTGCAGGGTGTTTCCACTCTGGTCGGTTTGGTAATAATGTGCTTCAGACTTTCTCCTGTGATGTTCTACCTGCTCTGAGTCCACATTAGCCCAGCTGATGGTGGTCTGAAGTGAGTCTTTAAACCATTTAAACTTGTTTTAGACTCCTCACAGCGCTCTATAGACATTTTAGAGGGGATTGTGTGACACAATCACAGCTATTAGCAGATGTGGTTTTGGAAAAGACTCCAGAGTATGTGAGGATGGAGACAAAGGAAGCTCATTGGCCGTCTCGTGTCCCGCTGAAAGAGACAGTTGGACTCTTGATCACTGTACCAGCGTTCTTAATGAAGGCTGTAAAACTGTTTTGTTGGAGGCCGTCTCACCCTCTCACTCCTTTTCTTCAGTGTGTGGAATTAGAGATGACTGTGATACGAGTCTCTCTCCGTCCACACCCTCCTCTCAGACCATCAGAGGGATCGTCTACATGATGTGAACAGCTAATTTATTGTTCTGGAAACAAGAGGGGGTGAGACTGCAATAATAGTTCCCTTTTCCTTTTGTACCAGTGTCTTTGAATGTCAGACAATAGACTCCATGTGATAATAGGCACTCCACTTTCATCCCTCACTAATCCACCATGAATAATTTTACATTCTGGGACACTAATTGTGTTAATCAGAACTGTGACAGGAACCTGCCCTGCAGGGACTGGGCTTTTCCTCGTGGTCTACTTCTCCGATGTTAAAAGTTTAGTAGTCGTCTAGTGTGTCCGAGTGTGTCGTGTTAAATCAGCCGTTTGTGAGAAAATGAAAGCAGGTCGTCTTTATCAGCGATAACAACACCCAACACACGTAACATAAAGTGATGTCTGATGAATTCAGATGTTTGAGTTCCTGAACAAAGTCAGATGTTTGGTAACGACGATGTTAATGAAGACGAGCAGCATGAAGACTGAACATCATCTTCATTCAGTTCAGTTCAGTGTCGACATTAAATCTCTGCTGCTGTCCAACAAACGAACTCTGGCTGACTGTTACCAACATGAGAAACAGTCACTGCACAGCCTGTTGACCTTTGAACCTGCTGCTGTTTTGGGCCGATTTCATTGGCCACAGCCGAGCGACTAACTCAGTTTGTCTCTGCGGTGGAGAAAGATTGTTAGAGGTTCATTAAAACACCCTAAAGTTCCTCGTCGTGATCTTAAAGTGGCTGTGAGGTGAAAACAGAGTTTGCTTTGTTACGTTTAGGTTTGAGATGATCCGTTTTTTTGACCCTTCCTGCCCTCTGAGTTACTCAAACATATGAAGACGCTGTCTTGCCTACAGATGAAACCTCATTCCCATTAAAACCACATGCTGTTGATTAAGATGGCTGCCATGTGGCCTGGCGGGGAATCATCACACTGCTCAGAAGTTTTTTTTAGTCCACCGTCTCCAGATCCAGAAGTTCCCTGTAACTTTCATGATCTAAACTCAGAGCGCGTTCTTGTTCTGTGAAGACTCTGACTCGGTTCTCTTTGTTTTCCAGCTACGCTCTGGCAGATGAGGCCTACCGTTCACTGAGGGACCAGGACAAGGACCAGTGTATCCTCATTACAGGGGAGAGTGGGGCTGGAAAAACTGGTGAGTGTCTGAACACCTGAACTCCTCTCTGAGAGAACATACATGTACATGAACATACATCTGACTGTGACTCTGAGATATCAGCCCCCAACAATAACAAGAAAATATCTTCATCCTTCATCAGAAGACCACAGAGCTGCTGGATCTCAGGAGGTTCAGAAATGTACCATCCAGACTCGACTTGTTTGTAGCTCTGAACAAAAGCTGGTTGAGTGTGTAGTCATAACTGTTTTTAGATAAGGGCTGTTTTTAGAAAAGAGACTCAGATTAAGATCAGATCCACCAAATAAAGGCGGCTTGATGCCGTCTCCGTGAACAGAACGGGTCGGGACATGAAGTGTGACAGAAATGTGGAGTTTCTGCTCGTATCCATCAGGTCTTAAACACTTGTATTGAAGCTCTGAGTGAGAATGTAAACTGTTGTAGGAGGCCAGACTCGTGTCCCTCTTCTCTTATTCCTGTTGGTCTTTATTATCATGTGGAACATACTTTAGACAGAGAGCTCTCGGACTGGAATTTCCTGCTGTGTTGCAGGTAAAAGTCATATTGAGTTGGCAGAGATTAAACTGGGAAATCAGCCCCAATAAACCGTCTTCCTGTCGTCCAGCAGAGACAGAGACGCTCATTTATACTCAGGATTTAACCTCTGAACTGAAGTTTCATCACCGATTGATTCCAGTGTAGTAACTTACCAGCTTCCATGACGGTTTATTGAACGTTTATTATGAGTCTCCCACAAAGTACCTGACGCTGAAGCATCACTCCTGCCGCTCTGACCGCCAACACTGACTAAACTAACTCACTGAATTTATTCACCAGAGTTTGTGAAAGAATCACAGTTTTCTGACTTTATTTCATAAGTGGAAATTTAGGGAAAATATCTTATTAAATTGACTTCCTGTTACAGTCAGTGTTACTGCAGGAGCTTCTTTATCTTTATCTTATCTATGAGTCTTTTTTTAGTCAATCAGTCGATCGTTTTGTTCAGAGAAGTTTTAGATTTAAAAGATTTCATGGAGCCGTTTTACCGCCATGAGTCTTTGATTACATCCTGTTACACAGCGCTACACAACACAGACTAATGTCACAGAACATCACATGACTTGACGCTGCATCATAAAACTGAAATCTAATCAGACACAGAAATGTTCTTCTAAAACCTCCTGTTTCTTTGTTTTATGATGTTATTGAACTCTGTGTTGTTTTAATCTGCGTTACTTTAAACTCATTTTAATAAGGGTTTTTTCACACTGTTGTTCTAAACTACGTTAATTTAAACTGTTATTTTAAATTGCGTTATTTTAAACTATTATTTTCCTCTCTTCTGTTTGTTTTTCATCCGTCTCGCCCTTCTTCAAACTCACAGTCGGTAATATTTGAAGCTCTGGTCGTCACATCGACGGTCTTCGGTTGTATTCTCTCCGTGTCGTTGGCGAGGTTTGGGTTTTGATACGGCGGCTGTTGAGGTGATTCTCCTCCTCTAAGTGACCTCGTCCCACAGCCGTGTTAAAGCCTCACCTGTGATGCTGTTGGACACCGTCACTCATCAAGAGCAGCTAGTATATATAAAACTGACCTGATGATGACGGTCCGTGGGTCCGTGGGTCCGTGGGTCCGTGGGAAACAGTTCGTCCTATCAGGTGATCTGATTTACCTGCCGCTGCTCCTCCCTCTCCGCCTCCTGTGGATGTTTGCGACCCCGCTCCAGGAGTGGGTCGGGCCTCGTCTGGGAGATAAATCTGGGTTTTGATGATCTCGTCACCCTGGAAGCTGCCGAGCAGAATAAGGCGGTGAAGAGCGTGTCCCGTTGATACGGGTCGTTGACATTTATGTCTCGCTGAAGCTTCGCTCGTGCTCCGTCATTCTGTGATTTCTATAGCAGCGAGGAGCCGTGACAAACATTATCACGGGCTGCCAGCGCCGCGGCGTTCAGACATAACATAGTTCTATCTCAGACTGAGCGACTTTGTTTTTCTTCCCACAGAGATAAAAATGTGAGGATTAAGCCGAGCGTTCACCGTCCTCTACCTTTAAAACGGAGGAGCGTGTCTGGAGCTCATCAGCAGTCAGAGCGAGCGTCTCCTGTCGAGCTCTTCTCTCTCTCTCTCTCCTTGGCACGTCACACATTATCAGTTCTGGGTCACCGTCATCTCCTGGACTGAGGAGATGATCCTGATGCCAGCAGTCGTCCTACAGGACATGTCGCCTGTTTTCGACGTGTCCCAGTTCTCATCCAGAAAATGATTTCAGGAACACGTTTCCGTCTCCTCAGGTTTCAGCTCGGACATGAAAAGTGGATGAACAGGATCATCTCTGACAGTCCAGATAAAGTCAGGATCCGTCCCGTCAGCACGCTCTCCTCCGGACGCTCAGTTAGGCGGCCATTTTATCTGTTTGTACCCCCGACTAATGAGTGACCCCGCCCTGCTCTGACGGGTGTCGGGGGGGATTAGGTCACCAGGACGTTTATGGTGGGAAATATGATGATGGCGTGGCTCCGCAGTCATGTCTGCTCAGGCTTTGACCTTAATATCAATCTGTGTGTGTCTGCACGTGTGTGTTCCAGAGGCCAGTAAGCTGGTGATGTCATACGTGGCGGCGGTGTGTGGGAAGGGCCAGGAGGTGAATAAGGTCAAGGAACAGCTGCTGCAGTCCAATCCTGTGCTGGAGGGTAAGTGAACGCCGTTCTCACTCCTGCTGCTGCTGCTGCTGCTGCGTCTCAGTTCGGGATCATTTCAACATCTGGATGCTGCAGAGAGACGCTGCCGTCCTGTTCACACACATTTACAGGATCTCCAGATGAGAGAGGCAGCTTTTGGGTGTCAGGAGGACATTTACACTCTTAGTTAGACGTTCATGAAGAAACTCGAACGTGTTGAGAAACATTTATCAAACCAAGACTCTGTCCCTCCTCTAGACTCTGTGAACTCACACAGATGAACTTTTCTCTCTGACTCACAAACACTAAAAAAAAAACTTTTTATTTAACTTTAAAGGAAATGAAACAATGAGTCCTGTACTGACTCTACAGCGCCCCCTGTATTTCACACACTCACACGCTCTCGTTCTCACAGCTCAGCTCAGCTCTGAAACAACTGTAGTTTAATTGGCCGGTCGACAGGAAATGCCCGTGAATGATGAAGCTGTACGCCTGAGCTGAGGCACATCTGTAAGAGTTTAACTCCTGAAGGAGAGAGAGAGAGAGGAGCAGAGTGAGCATGCTCAGTCTGCTCCCCTCTCTCTCCCTCCTGAAGGAGAGAGAGAGAGGGGAGCAGACTGAGCATGCTCAGTCGGCTCCCCTCTCCCTCCTGAAGGAGAGAGAGAGAGGGGAGCAGAGTGAGCATGCTCAGTCTGCTCCCCTCTCTCTCCCTCCTGAAGGAGAGAGAGGGGAGCAGAGTGAGAGGAGCTCAGTCTGCTCCCCTCTCCCTCCTGAAGGAGGAGGAGGGGAGCGGAGTGAGAGGAGCTCAGTCTGCTCCCCTCTCCCTCCCTCCTGAAGGAGAGAGAGGGGAGCAGAGTGAGCATGCTCAGTCTGCTCCCCTCTCTCTCTCTCTCTCCTTCAGGAGGGAGAGAGAGGGGAGCGGAGTGAGCTCCTCTCAGTCTGTCGGCCTGAAGCTCGCTCTCTCTCAGCTTCACTTCTGCTGATCATCTTTATTGGTTCCACTCTTTCCTTTCTAATCAATAGAATTAAAAACTCTAATTATCTGTTATCAGTCCTTCAGCAGTTCTTCTTTGATTCACGTTAATATTGTTCTGATGTCAGAATGTGGTCAGACGGGGAAGTCGGCTCTGGATTAGAAACTAACACTCTAAATTCACACACACACGTCTGTGATGTGTTTCTGTTGTCATGCACTAATTGCTTCAGTGGACAACACTCGTTCTTATTCGTCATCAGAAGGACAGCGGCGGCGATATTGGCGCCCTTTTATTCGTCCGTGTTGTGACAGCGAGGTTCAGGAGAGCTTTGGTTCTCGGCCTAATCCTCACAGAATTAAGGGGCTTCATCGGCACAAACAGCTTTGACACTCGGCCCCTCTGTGATTGACAGCGAGCCTGAATGAGACAGAATGTGACGGATCATTTTTAGATATTTATAAACCAGCTTTGATGGATCAGCATGAATGATGAATCGGTTTCTTGTGTTTCTCCTCCTTTACAGCCTTTGGAAACGCCAAAACAGTCAGGAACGACAACTCCTCCAGATTTGTGAGTATTCTCTCTGAGCCGATAAACAGACACTGTTGCTCTATGAGGTATAACCTGTAAATTCACACTCAGACTGGTTTGATCCAGTGTCTAATCTCCTAATCTCATCCATATTTCCTCTTCAGAATAAACCCCGGAGTATTTCTTAATTCCCCACATTTGGTCCCTCCCTCTTTTTTATTATGTCCTCTCATATGAAGGTCTGTCTCTGTCTCAGTTTATCAGCAGGTATGAAGATGTTTTAAAAGCTCATTTTCTAACTCCAGCAGAGATCCGCTCTACTCTCCAGTGTTGGCTCTAAGATACAGTCTTTGGAGCGGCTTGATGGTTGAAGCGAAGGCTCGCTGGTGTTTGTTCACATAAACTGACTTTAAGCCAACAAAATGCCAAGGCCAACGTTTCCAGCAGACACGTGTCCTTGGCGAACCGTGCGTGTTGGAGCCCCATTCAGAGAACAGACCCACTGAAGCGCTGAAAGGAGACAGGAATCACATTATGAGCCCGTATATAACAGAACCGGACCCTGTGCCAGCCAACATTGGGCCTCCAACAGCAGTTAAACAGCACACTTGATAAACGTGTTCAATGGTTTTGTAAACGCTCTCTGCGTTCATCGTAAACGGCGAGGCGTCTGACCTGCTCTGCTCTGTGTGACCACATACAAACACAGAAGATTTGCTCTTTAACCACCAGGACAACATTAATGACCTCTGTTATCTGAGGTCATCTCTCCATATGCAGAGTCGAGCTCTTCTTTACGGGTTCATCTTCAGACCGTTTGTTCCGATGATACTGTGGTCAGAATGAGGAAGCTGAAGACATCTGAGCTGATCTCTGAGGGCGACCAAGATAGCATCAGAAGAATGATTCAGTGTCTGCGAGGTTCCAGACACAAATCCAGAAGGAGGAGCAGAGACGGGTGTGTTTTACCCTGGAGGGTGTTTTAGTCGTCTCTGGCTCTGCTCTTTCAGGACGGCCTCACGCTGCAGCAGCCGGCTTCAGTTTCAGCCCTTATTACATGATATTGCATCAGAGTACTACCTTTGTTCATGTACTTTGTCGAACATGAATGTTTATTTAGTCAATCTGTGAGCCGCTTCAGCTGAAGAACTCTCCGGAACATCTAAAACACGGTCGGTCTGCAGACGTGAGACTGAAGGAACTTTAACACTTTTAATAACAGCAGCTTTCAGGCTGACCGCCAACGTACGCTCACAGTTTTTGATTTCCCTTTCCTGCCGTATTTAACCATCTAAACACACGCCAGAGCGCAGACTTCCTGCTGTAACTGGGAACATTATAGAGGATATTTGTGTTTCAGTAACAGCAGATATTCACCCCTCAGACCTGTCAGCTTTACAGAGACGTATGAACCGCAGCATCACTCCTCTGTTATAAGAGTATCTGAGCGGCGGCCCACTCACCGCTCCGCTCAGCTGTTCTGGAGGACCCGTCTGCTATTAATACACCAGAGAGGGAAAATGAAACACACAGGACTCTGTGTTCTACCGTCCAAGACCGAGAGGGAAGGAAGGAGCGGAGCCTCGATCGGTTTGTTTGAGTTTTCAGTTATTTCAGGTTCTGATGAGCCGGCAGAGTTCTGCAGTGACCCGAACGATTCTGCTCTGAGGTCTGTGAACTCAGCTGAACCCACCAGCTGAACCTGAATCAGAATCTCTTTATTGTCCTGTAAAGGGAAATTAGATTTGCAGCAGGGCTCACAAAAGACGAGTACACAATGACAACATAAACACAACAACGATATCAGAAACACACAAAACCACCGAACATTCAGTCCAGAGATCAAACCAAAAATAAAGAAAAACTACCAAGTAATTAAAAGTGAAAATGAGTAATAATAGTGTAAGACGACATGAGCAGCCTGAGGGTCGACTGCTCTTCAATAAATAAATAAAAGAGAGCGGAGATCTTTAGTCCTCCTCACAGGGGCCCTAAAACGGCGGCCTGAAGGTCAACGCTCAAACTCGACCCAGAAGGACATTAGCCTTATAGAGAGACAAAACCCCGGCCTGCTGATCTCCAGAGAACCAAGACGGTTCTTATTGGACAGGTTCAGGTCTCAGAACCAGACCACAATACAACAAGATAAAACTGCTGAGTCATGGTCTCATCAGAAACACGCTGTTCTTCAGGTCACAGAGTCGTCTTCTCTTGTGTTTCCATCCACAGGGGAAGTACATGGACATCGAGTTTGACTTCAAAGGAGATCCTCTGGGGGGCGTCATCAGCAACTGTGAGTAATACTGAGACCTGGATGTAACTAACAACACCTCCTCTCTCCTCCGAGCAGCATCACTGAACGTGTCCGTCATCTAAAGACCGTGTTGATAACATGTCGTTGAATATTTCTTGAATAAAAAGTCGATCGGTTCTGATTTAGTCTGATGAAGACTGTAAAGTGTCTCATCTGGACTCCTCACACTGACTCCTCAGAGGTCAGAGGTCACAGAAACAAAGAGGGAAGCTGATGGTTCAGACACAGATGAAGCTCTGTCTGTTGGACTCAGTTAGTCCAGTGAGGCGGACCCACTGACATGTGACTGCCTCAGACAGAGCGGTCTAGACAGATGGATGAGGATGCTCTTACAGGGCGAACCAGGATAGATTTTTCTTCAGCCCTCAGTTTATTATCTAACCCTGACGTATGTCCTCACAGCCCTCAGCGCTGAGGACAGCCGAGGTCGGATCTGTCAGCGCTTCATTTTTTCTGTTTTCAGCCAATCAGCCGAATTCTCCTTAAAAACAGGAAATTGTCCCCGTTATATTTATAACCGTTATATTACTGCTTTAATGTGTTTGTTTATCGAAGGAGAGGAGAGAGCGTGCAACAAGCGCTCTTTAAAATGCTGTACAGAAACACGGGAAGCTCTGGCTTTAAAAAGCAATAATAAGATGACATAAATGTTTGGAGGAACACGATGTGAAAAGGTCACTTCAGTCCCTGCAGGACGAGGATATTGAGAGACTCTGAAAGCAGAAATATATGAAACTCTGCAGCAGTGGAGGAAGCAGCGTCTCTCTGCGTCTTTGAGCTCAGCTCAGGATCACTGCTGCCAGCCGCTCACTCATGGATGTTGGATTATTGATATGCTGCCTTTTATTGAATCACTTATGTGATTTGTTGCCAGTGGGGGTCATAGATTCTCATTGGGCCTGATCCACAGCTAACTCTGACAACTCTGTGCAGAGAGGTGTTCGCTCTGTTCTCACAGCTGCAGAGCAAAGTGGCGTTTCTCTGCTCTCAGCCGCCGCAGACCGCTGAGTCAGACTTTGTCATGTCTGAGAGCTGAAAAGGCCACGAGACGTCTTTTTTCTTTTCCTCTTGAATTTCTTTCAGCGGTAAATTTGTGAAAGGTAAAAATGTTTGTGCACAAAAATAGAAAAGATGTTTCTTAGCAGTCGAACTGAAGCTGTTATTGGGTCAGAGAGGAGGAGGAGGAGGATCTCAAACATCCACAGACGCTGAGCTCTGCAGTCGGCCTTTAATTAAATCATACTCAGCCTAATGCGGTGAGCAGATGATGGCTCCCCTTTTAATCAGGTACTGTTGCACTTGGTCTGCAGCCCAGAAGAAAGGGCTGACGGCTGGTATCCTGGTCCGGGTTCTTCTTCCTCTGCTGTGTTTTTTACACATAAATAACTCTTAGTGGGCTCGGTCACCATGGCAGCTTCCACACACACAATCAGAGGAACCAGAGAGACACACACACACACACACACACACACATGTTGGATGTCCTTATGGTGGGTCAGTCCCAGTAGCTGAAGAAACCCCTCCTCTGAGCTCTGATCACTCACTGCCTCGTGTCGTTGGTTGTCTCGTCCTCTTTCAGATCTTCTGGAGAAGTCACGTGTGGTCAAACAGCCCAGAGGAGAGAGGAACTTCCACATCTTCTATCAGCTTCTGTCTGGAGCCTCAGAAGACACTCTCAGTAAGTGGTAAACATGCTGCAAACAGGATCTCAGTGGAAGCTTCAGATTTTTTCATTGTTTAGAAAATCCAGTTTGGTTTACGACATCTAAAGGACTCAGTTTGGAATAATGTCCCAGAATAGACAGGAAGTGATGAATCAACCTCGCTGAAGCAGAAACGACGTGAACTCTCATATTCAGTCTTTCCTTTACTGTTGTGCGGACTAACCACGGTGCCGCTCCCTCGACTAAACATTAGGTTTCTATTTCCCGGAAGGATTGCAGCTGCTGCGACACACGGCTGCTGCATTAATGAGCCAATCTTCCTGCCTGACAAACAGAACAAAGAGCTGCTCCCTCTGTTTGCTTCTCTGCGGGCAGAGGGCATTGTTTTTATGTCCTGAACACAGGAGAACCATATAATGGTCATTGACTCCAGAGCACGCACATCAGAGCGGCGTGATTCAGCTGCAGCTAATGCAGCCGCTAATGAAATCTGACACACGTGACCACAAGAGGAATGGATTTCTTTGTTAGCAGAGAGGCGGCGCTCTGATCAGACAACATGCTGCAGAGGGAGACACTCACATGTAGGTGATGATGTTGATGTTGGAGAGGATCTGCTGCTCAAATGTAAAAGCATCAGTTTGAACTTCTGCAGCTCTGAGGCTTTATTTTCTTTTTTGAGTCAGTCTTGAAGAGACTGTTTGTAGTTTCCTCTTTATTAGCTGTGAGTTTGTAACGTTTATTTGATGTAAATAAGTCCGTTAGTCATCCTGCTGTAAACAACCTCATGGTTTCTGTGTCACAGAGAAACTGAAGCTGGATCGAGATTTCAGCAAATACAACTACCTGAGCCTGGACTCTGCAGCTGTCAACGGGCTGGACGACGCCGCCAACTTCAGGACAGTCAGAGTAAGGAGAGCGCACACACGTGCACACGCACAGACACACACGTGCACACGCACAGACACACACGTGCACAAGCACAGACACACACATATTCTTCCTCTCCAGAGTTTGATCACTTTTAGTTTTGTTTCTTATTCTGGATGAATTTCTCTGATGATCGTGAAAATAATCTTGTTTTCTAAAAAATGTCCAAAACTATAAACGGACGGTTACAAAAACACCCACGCTCATCTCAGACAGGACGTGTGGACAGTTGTGGATGTGGATCCTGAGGGTCTGATGTTTCCTTATCATCGGTACAAACTTTACAAGTAAAGATCAAAAATCCTCCTGTAGTCAGACTCACTCTGACCTGTTTCTAAACCGGGTCAACGTAGAGCCGAGCCGGACCTTCAGAGTGAATCCAGCCTGAAGTAGTGGCTGTTCAGACTATCAGACCAAAGTTTAAAGTTGGTTCACCCTGAACCTGAACAGTAGCAGACGTTTGGGGAAACACCGCTGCTTCCTGCTGAATGAAGAGTCACGGAGCCTCGTGTTGTTCCCATGGAGACCGGCTCACAGGTTGGACTTCTATATCAAACGAGTCCAGATCTGCTGACGTGTTCTTAGTCCTGCTCCAGCATGCTGCCCTCAGATACGTCCTCAGTCTGATGTTACACAGTCCACTTGTTTCCTTGCTTCCTTGTTTCCTACATCCTGCTTCTCATCACCTCTCACACAGAGTTTTCACAGTATTCCCCACACAGCTGCGTTTCACCACAGGAAGCACCAGTGGACATTCCCACTGAACAATGAGTCCGACCACATGTCCCGTCTGCTGTATCTGACCGTGCTTTTGTCCCTGAAACACGGCGTCACTCTAATCTGAAAATAACACAGTTCACAGGTACACACGCCGCCACCGTCATGAAGAGCTGTTATTTTTACCAACACCGTCATTTCATGAGGTGGACGTCATCACTCGTCTCTTTTTCAGCTCCTCAAAGTTCTGAAAGTAAAACGCAGTGAGACTCTGTGTTCGATGACTTTTATCCAGGTTCTTGTTCTTCATTGTTGAGAATCAAACAACACAAAGTGACACACATTAAACTGGTCTTTTTCTAAACGAACCACAAACTGGTAAAGTCAGTCATGGAGGAGTCTGTCCACAGATGGAGCCTGTGGAGCCTTCTCTTCTTCTTCTTCTTCTGTCAGATTTAGTCCCAGGATTGTTGACAAAAAGCGACAATAGTGTTAAAATAGGTCTGAGCTGATGTCATATTACAGGAGGCTTCCTGCTCCTGCTCGAACCCCGTGTCTGTTTCATGATGATGTTGAATCAGCTGATCAGTGACCCGCTCCCTCTCTCCAGAACGCCATGCAGATCGTGGGCTTCATGGAGGACGAGGTCCAGTCGGTGCTGGAGCTGGTGGCAGCTGTGCTGAAGCTGGGCAACATCGAGTTCAAGCCAGAGTCCCGCTGCAACGGCACCGACGAGAGCCGCATCAAGGACAAAAACGGTGAGGAGGGCGGGGGGACAGAGGGGACAGAGGGGACAGAGAGGACAGAGGGGACAGAGGAGACAGAGGGGACAGAGAGGACAGAGGAGACAGAGGGGACAGAGGGGACGAAGACGAGAGCCGCATCAAGGACAAAAACGGTGAGGAGGGCGGGGGGACAGAGGGGACAGAGGGGACAGAGAGGACGAGGAGACAGAGGGGACAGAGGGGACGAAGACGAGAGCCGCATCAAGGACAAAAACGGTGAGGAGGGCGGGGTGGAAACCTGACGTTAGGGGACAGAGGGGACAGAGGGGACAGAGAGGATAGAGAGGACAGAGGGGACAGAGGGGACAGAGGGGACGAAGACAGAGGGGATGAGGACAGAGACCAGAGCCGCATCAAGGACAAAAACGGTGAGGAGGGCGGGATGAGAACCTGACGTTAGGAGACAGAGGGGACGGAGGGGATAGAGAGGACAGAGGGGACGAGGACAGAGGGGACGAGGACAGAGGGGACGAGGACGAAGACGAGAGCCGCATCAAGGACAAAAACGGTGAGGAGGGCGGGGGGACAGAGGGGACAGAGGGGACAGAGAGGACAGAGGGGACAGAGGGGACAGAGGAGACAGAGGGGACAGAGAGGACAGAGGGGACAGAGGGGACAGAGGGGACGAAGACGAGGACGAGAGCCGCATCAAGAACAAAAACGGTGAGGAGGGCAGGGGGACAGAGGGGGCAGAGAGGACAGAGGGGACAGAGGAGACAGAGGAGACAGAGAGGATAGAGGGGACAGAGGGGACAGAGGAGACAGAGGGGACAGAGAGGACAGAGGGGACGAGGACGAAGACGAGAGCCGCATCAAGGACAAGAACGGTGAGGAGGGCGGGGGGACAGAGGGGACAGAGGAGACAGAGGAGACAGAGGGGACAGAGGGGACGAAGACGAAGACGAGAGCCGCATCAAGGACAAGAACGGTGAGGAGGGCGGGGTGGAAACCTGACGTTAGGAGACAGAGGGGACAGAGGAGACAGAGGAGGCAGAGGAGGCAGAGGGGACAGAGGGGACAGAGGAGACAGAGGAGACAGAGGGGACGAGGACGAAGACGAGAGCCGCATCAAGGACAAGAACGGTGAGGAGGGCGGGGTGGAAACCTGACGTTAGGAGACAGAGGGGACAGAGAGGAGACAGAGGGGACAGAGAGGAGACAGAGGGGACGAGGACGAAGACGAGAGCCGCATCAAGGACAAGAACGGTGAGGAGGGCGGGGTGGAAACCTGACGTTAGGAGACAGAGGGGACAGAGGAGACAGAGGGGACAGAGGAGACAGAGGACGAAGACGCTGCCTGGACCGTCTCACTCTGTTTTATAAAAGGGAGACGTTTCACTCAGCTGTTCAGTGTTTTGGTTTGATAATACACTGTAAACACTTTTCCACTCAGACCAGTGTCCTGAGTGGGCCTGATGGGGAGCCACTGCCCCCTCTTGGCTGCTCCTCTGCAGTCACTCCGACCAAATACTTATTAGTATCTCATGATTTGATGATAAGAGTGTTTGTGTTATCGCTCCCACAGACACTCTCTCTGGAGAAGTGGCTCATTTGCATATTTAACTCTGTGGCAGCGGCGTGACTCATCACAGCGCCTCCTGCTGAGGAAGACGTGTTTTCTCTGTGTTTATCACATCTTTATTCGGCTTTATTGCTGTTTATTGCAACATTTCTCATGTTTGTATTTGTTCCTCCAGGTCTTTCTAAAATCATTGATATTCAATGATCTTTTCAGACTGAAGTTTGAGCTTCCATCTCTGCTCTTAACTGATTCTTTGTTTGATTGATCCAGAGAGATGAATGTATGAAGTCAGTTCCCTTTACTCAGACTTAAATATTGATAAAGGATGAGGTCAAACTGTTGATTATCTCTCTCTCCCTCCTGAAGTCTCGGGTAGATCGTCTGTTTTCATGTGTTGCAGACCTGAAGGAGATGTGTGAGCTGCTGGGGATCGAACAGTCAGTCCTGGAGAGAGCCTTCAGCTACCGCACCGTGGAGGCCAAGCTGGAGA